AGCCTTGGAGATAGTGCCGAAGAAAATATTGAGGTAATAAAATCAGTTTCTTATCAAGTCATAGCCTCCAACTTCTTTCCCTCTCATATCGCCTTTTATCTTTCTCTCTTGATAACTCGATTATTACTGATCTTACTCAGCAACAGTTAGTTACTTATAATCTTGTTTGATAAGCAAAGTAAGGAGAACATTTAGATCTTAAAAAACAAAAAAAAAATGGTAAATTTAGGACAAACGTTAGATGTTACGTTTGATGCGTATACAAATAAGACGAGACGACTCGGGTAAGTTCCTGGAATCAGCACTAATTCCATCGATCGATCAATCGATTTAACCCAGCAACGATGGACAAAGAATTAAGTTGAGTTAAAGAACCAACAGCTCGACTCCAGAGAAATGTTAAAACTTCTAATACGTAACAAAAAACAAGAAAAAAAAATCTGAAGCGGTGCATGAAAAAAAAAAATTTTAAAATGGTAAATTTAGGACAAACGTTGGATGTTAAGTTTGATGCGTATACAAATAAGACGAGACGACTCGGGCAAGTTTCTGAAATTAGCACTAATACCATCGATCGATCAATCGGTTGAACCCAGCAACGATGGACAAAGAATTAAGTTGAGTTAAAGAACCAACAGCTCGACTCCAGCGAAAGGTTAAAATTCGTAATAGGTAACACAAAACATGAAAAAAAAAACTGCAGCGAAGCACGCATCACATAACTTTCACTTACCACCCTTCTTTTAGGTGAAATAGGTATTTTCAGAGAAAAGAAAGAAAAATTAAAAATCATAGACGGTACATTTTTTATATGTTTTTCACTGCTGTCTAATGTATTATATATTTATGTTTTGTTTTTTTCGCTAATCATTGTTTTTAACGGTTGTATATTTTTATTATTTATTTGATCACCATAAATAATCAAGTACCACAAAATATTTTATAATTGCCACTGACAACAAAGGCCGGTATATTTATATATATTTCATTGTAGATATTTTTATTTGTTTAAGCATTGGTAAATATATTTAAATTTTAATTTTTATATTGCTGTAATCTTTACAGTTAAATATTAAATAATATTTATCTTTATAATTTATGAAAACCTCACATGATTATGTAGAGAAGCAAGAGCTGGGAAATTCGAATTCTTTTAACTGAATCGGTTCTCAAAGATTCAATCATTGTGATGAATCTATTCTTGTGAACGATTCTTCGATTGATTCTTTTCATCTTAATTTTTCTTTAAATTAAAAAGGAACTTTTTATAGAAAAAAAAAAAACAAAAAAATTCCCACACCAATTTTTTTTGTTGACAAAAACCTTTTTTTTTTAACTGATTGAAATTAAAAGTCCTGGTTCAAATATATACAGATGAAAAGTAATTATAACCTTTAAATAAAAGCCTTTATTGATTGCTTAAAATATTTTCATGAAAACGTAAATATTAGGGCTAGAAACATTAAGCTTTTCACTTATAAATACGCCTCAATTTCTATGATAGAAATTTGAGAGAAAAATACCATTTCATAACCACCTTACATAAAGAATGTTTGAAAAAAACATTATTGAATACTTAATAGTTGAAAGTTGTATTATTAAGGAAGGAGATGGTCCGGGGTGGCGGTCATAAATAGAATAAATAGTGGCAAAACTATTTTATTAAAAGCCAACTTTTCGACCCGACTTGGCAGGTCTTCTTCAGGGCTAGAACGGGCAAGATACAAAACGATTTAGAGAATTGTGGAAGTTGCATCATATTTAGATAAAAAATTATAAACAATGTGAATAAACTGATTAAAATTATAAACAGTAAGTAAATTAAAATATTAAGAACAATAAGTTATATAGACAGAGTAATCTAAGTAACAAGATTCTAAACTGAAGTAAATAGATGGTAACAATTGTTGTAGTATAATATATAATATAATATCTGCAATTGTGATTATACTCTTACAGATCTACAGGAGAGATTTGAAGAAAAGGAACAAGGATATAATATGAACGATTCTTAGATTGATTCTTTTCATCTTAATTTTTCTTTAAATTAAAAAAGAATTTTATATTTAAAAAAAAAATGATTTACATGAAAATGTAAATATTAGGGCTAGAAACATTAAGTTTTTCACTTATAAATATGCATAGATTTCTATGACAGAAATTTGAGTGAAAAACAAGATTGCATAACCATCTTACATAAAAAAATGTTTGAAAAATTTTATTTTTCAATTGTCCATATCTATAAATAAAATGTGATTTAGGCAATAATGTTTATTACGATACATCTCATATCACGGAAAAACAAGAAATAAAAGCTTTGAAATAGTTAATTATAGTCATTTTTGATTAAAATACGGGTACTTTTAGGTGACGATAGAAAACGTAATTTCTTTACACAACTTGAGGTGAATCTCAAACTTTTTCCTTATAACAGGAAAAACAGGACAGGTTGTTATAATACTCAATAAAGAAAAAAAAAATCAAATATTTTTTAAGTTATCGTTCCCTATTCAAAAAAAAACGTGACGCTTAAAAAAACACAAATCTTAAATATCCTACTTTCCTGCTGGAAATTAGGCAATTGTTTATTATATGAACTTTTCTATAGATCTTGATGTCTACTATTAACCTTTAAAATATTTCCCACGATTATATTTTATATTATATATTCAGTGATTATTATGCTATTGTTTTAGCTCCAATATTGTAGTACTAAACCCCTATTACCCAACTGTTCTCGTTAAATTATCCTAAGAGCTTAATTAATACTTAATTTATTACAAGAATTTTGTTATTATTCATTGTAATAAGTCTTTTGGCCAGATTTATGGTTAATTTATATGAACAATACTGTTATTCTAAAGGGACCTAGTCCCAGAATAAAGATGAATTCTCTATTTCTATTTCTATTTTTATTATATCATACTATATAGTATGATGAATTTATAGAAAAATTGTTCATTAAGTTACGTCGACGTTTCGACCCAAATGCAGTTCTTCATCTGGACAATTAAGGAAGGAAAAAGTATTGATTAGACACAGCTCAGTGATAAAGTTTGCCATTATCAGTTTGGTATTTGTCAGACATTTACGTAGCTATGTCTAATCAATTTCGTGATCGATTCTTGATCGCTATCACAAACACTGACGTGTGAATCGATACATTAAACGATAAAAAATATCCAACTATATTTTGCATTATGTTCCTTCTATCCATCATATCATCTTGATTATTATTATTGCTATGAAATTAAGTTAAAGTATCTTTTCACCTTCGTATCATTTCATGGAAAAAACCAAAACAAATTAGGATAGCTTATCGTGGTACAGCGTGGTGAAATAACACTATATTATATTGTCGTTGTCCCCCTCTCCCCTCGCTCTTCACTTTACCTAGTAACTCGTATTAGATCAATAATATAAATAAATTTCAATCATACATATTTGTTTTGTTTGTTTCTTCTAGTTCATGTCCCCATTCAATTATTTTTTTTTAATTATTAATTTTGTATATATATTATTATTATTGTACATAGAGTGTGTATGTGAATAGAACACTATTATAAATGTCCTTTGAGACAGATTGTAATATTTTCAATAAAAAAATTATTAATTTAGTACTGATGATAATTAATGAAAAATAAACAGAACTGGAGTCTATATAAATAATAAATTCATTAGTTTAAATTCAAAGGAACGTGAGTTATTCGTATTTATAAATACCTGATTCTAATATTTACGTGTTCATGAAAATAATTGAAGCAATCAGTAGATTTATTTATTTTAAACGTAAATTTTAGAACGAGAGATATTAATTTTGTCACTAATAAATATGGACAAGTTCCTAAGACAGAAATCTGGAAGAAACACACAGTTTCATAAACATTTTACAAGAAAAATCACTATTTTTAAATTATTTATTTTTATGAATAAAAAGTGAATTAAGGCATTAATGTTTGTTATAATAAATCCCAAAGCAGACGGGAAAAATAAATAAAAGCTTTAATTTTTACTCAGAATGAATAGAAATATGAAACATAGATTTGAGATTTTTAATTTTGGATTTAACAAGAAATGGATAATTAATGAAAAATAAACAGAACTGGAGTCTATGTTGTAAACTCTAAAAAAAAATATTTTATTGTTCATTAATTAACAAAATAAATTTATTAGTTGATAATAATTGAAGCAACCAGCAAGGTTATTTATTTTAAACGTAAATTTTAGTACGAGAGATATTAAGTTTGTCACTTATAAATATGGATAAGTTCCTAAGACAGAAATCTGGAAGAAATAATTTTTTTATTTTTATAAATAAAAAGTGTATTTTGGCATTACGTTTATTATGATACATCCCATATAATAGAAAAACAATAAATAAAAGCTTAGCAGCAGTTAATTGTAGACATTTTAACCGAAAACAAGGTTACTTATAGGTGACAGGATAAAAAAAAAATAATAATTTTTTAAATAAATTAATGAATCTCTACTTAATTGATATGCACTTGAAGTTAATTAAACGAATAAGTTTTTCTAAAAGTAAGAAATCTATAGTATAGCTGAAGGATTACAAAAAAAATTGTGAATAATTTATATTTTGTTTTAAACAAAAGTTAGCACAGTTTAGCTACTCAAAAGTCGTCTTTAAACGATTTTAACAATGACGGTTTTAACTATTTTCGTAAAGCAATTGTTAATAATTTAAATTAAAGAATTCTTCAGTTATCGCTTCCTATTAAAAAAAAAAAAAGCAGGACTTACTTAAAAAAACATAAAACCTGAATTTCCTACTATTCTGTTGAAAATTAGTCCATTATTTATATGAAGTTTTTTGTAGCTCTTAATTTCTGCTATCACTTCTATAAATATTTCTCTCTACTTACGGGACATCCTGTATATTTTAAAACATATTGGAGTTTATCGTATACCTACTAATGTTTCAAAACTTAAAATAAAATATAGTCAAGTATATTTAAGAGCTGCTACGAAGTCAGTGTTACCTGAGTTGTGACTTCTTTCTCCGTAGGACCTCTTCTTCAGCCGAAGGACTCTTGAAGACTGAGCGGAGGGAGCTAGGAGCCAAGAGGGGGTCCTCGCCTCTGCAGGAAGGTGAGACCGGTTCCTTGTCTCGGAACTGTCTGGGTCAAGAGGATTCACTATTATCCAGTTCCAGTTCCAAAAAACAAACAAATATAACTGATATTGCTGGTTGAAGTTGATTCTTTTTGTCTAAAATAGCCAAAAATTTGAGAAAAAAAAGTTATTATTAAATACAATTTTTTTTAATTTTACTCCATTGTGTAATAGTAAAAAAAAAAAAAAAAAAAAAGCCAACCAAATAAAATCAGAATAGCTTCCTCACTTCCTCACCAAGAATTTAAAATATTAATATGAGAAGGAGTTGATGGGGGGGGGGGGGTGCGGTCAAATGAATATTAAATTAAACAAGTAGAATTATTTAATTTTTGCCGACGTTTCGACTCATTTTGCAGATCTTCATTAGGGCTACAAAAGATACAAAACATGGTGAAAATAAAATAAATGAATATAAGTAAATATAAAATAAGAATAAGTTGCAAAATAAGTATGAATAAAATTAGAAAATAAAGGAGAACATAGTCTTATTTTCCATTTTTGTTTGTATCTTCTACATATAATACTTGATATTTTAACTATATTGTCACCCACTATATCTCTGATATCATCTTTTTATTTCTGTATCAGACAACTTATTCTTATTTTATATTTACTTATATTCATCTATTTTATTTTCACCATGTTTTGTATCTTTTGTAGCCCTAATGAAGACCTGCAAGGTGGGTCGAAGCTTCGGCATAATAATTAAATAATACTATTTCTATAATTTAGTATTAGCATATCCATGAGACGGTACATCAATCAAGCGGATCCAGAATTTCATTTTGGGGGCTTCAGCGAGAAAGAATTTTTTTTTCTCAAATATTACGATAATTACTTTGGAAAAAGAAATGGAAAAAAACTAACTACCTATATGAAATTGTGTTTAAGTGATTCTTGAAGTCCTATTAAATGTAATTACACGAACAATAATACTTTTAGAGTAATTTTTATTTATTTTTCATAACACACGATAATATTTTACTATTTTGGGGGGGAGGCTTCAGCCCGAAAGCCTCCCCCTCCCCCAGTAGATCCGCTAGTGACATCACCTGAAGTTGTCGCGAAACATTAATTCGAGAAAGTTCAATTTTTTTTAATTTGGACCTTGAAAAAAGAAAATAACTAAAATATTTTACCTCATTTGAGTTTTTCTTTGATTTTGTATTTAATTTGCTTATTAAAGGAAATAAAACAATGAAGAAATCAAAACCGAAAGTACAATACTATGGTTATATTATCATTGTTATATGCAAGTTATCAAAACAATATTTACTCATAACATCGTCGTAATAGAAGCAGTTTCAGCAAACAAGTGACGATATCAAATGTTTTTATTCAAGAACATTTATTATGTTGCTTTCATTACGATGCAGTAGTTTGGTGCTACTTTCATTCAATTTCAATTTTATTTATTGCAAATTTTTACTATTTCGTAGCCTGTAAGTTCTAATTCATTAATTCAAATTCTGAATGGACTGTAAAGGAATATTTGTAGTTCATTATAGGTCTGACAATTTAATTTATATTTAAACTTTATGTCATAATGGACGGTAGCTAAAGCATAGAACAAAATTGATAAATAATGAAGATATATTTGTGTTGAAAAAATATTGCTTATAAACTATTGTAAACCTTAGCAATACCTCACTGTTAATTCTATTGTTGATAATTATTAATTCAATCTGTTTTACCAATGTCATATTATATGTTTATTAAAACCGAAATAAGAAAAATATTTAATTATTTCATAACAATTTAATAAGGGTATAAATAAAGATGGATAAGTATTTTGCTCTGATTACACACAGAAACAAATGAATCTGTGAGTGCAGAAACCACTTCAGTCACAAATTTCAATTTTTCCAGAAGAGGGAAAAACGTCATAACTCTTCCATATTTTCAAATATTTGAACTTTTTTTTCCTCTGTCATAACATGCATTTATGTTGCTTTCATGCAAAAATTACCTAATTTCGACATAAATTAGGCTCAGGAAAATTTAAAATTTGATTCGGACTTATGCTGTTTCTGCACTCAACTGTTTTTTACAGACAGCTGAAAACTTGGAAAAAGGTAACCATTCATTAAAAGTTTATATTTTTTAATTAACAATTTATTTTACAATAATTTATATTAATTTTACAATTTAATTTATTTATATTATTTTTGATTTAATTTATTTTCAACAATTTTAAAAATTATTATTTTCCTATATTATATCAAAAATGAAATTACAATATAGCAAAGTCATTATAAAACAGGAAAATAACAAAGTGAAACGCTCTTAAAGATCATTCTCGATGATTGTATCATTATCAATTGCTGTGGTTGGCCAGGTGAATAGTTCATCATAAAAAAACTTTGAAGTTTTCATTTATATTTATATTCATAAGTACCATAAATATAAATGTTATTCGTATTTATATTTTCGAATATAAATATGCCCATCTCTGCTGGTCATGGGATCCAGCGGTGGGTGCAGAAACCATGTCAGTCACTGACTCATGTTATTTCTGCGCTCAACGATAAAGGAACTACTCAACAGACTAACGTGGTTCTTGCACTCAACACGCATCTTGCCTTTCTAAGCTTCTTTTCATCGAAAACGATTTTCCCCAATTTTTTTTTACTGAAGTGGTTTCTGCACTCACCGATTCAAATATGGACCCATGAAAAAAAAAATTCTATGTTAGAAAGAGAGTTTCACCCCGAAAATCTTCCTGAATCCGCCGGCGTCAGTTACTGGATAGCATTCATCTCCCCCTCCCCACATGGTCGATGGCGTATGCCCGCTATCCCATAAAATAATATTGCTCTACTCTTCTAAAAAAACAGTTCAAGAGCAAAAGTAGAATTCGAAAAATTGATATTATGTTCAACTAAACTGTGTTTGTGCATTTGTTTTATGTTTCTTCCTTCGTTCCTTACGCTGAAAGTTTCTTCAAATTGAATAACACAAAAATATAGTTCTTTCTTAAAATTCATAACCTTATTAAAGAGAGCCTTACCACAAAAATTCTAAACTGGATTAAAATGTGCTCCCCTCAAAATTTTTGGTGGCGCAACTTTTGCTATGCAATCCCATTCTCCCCTTATTATCAAATTATGAATCACACATTAAGTACGTCTGGAACCTGATACGCTAAAATAAAAACATTTATTGATTTATCCTTCCCAATAGCAAAACAGCTTTGCTGTTGACTACTACTTTCAATTATCTCAATCCCCCTTTGCTATCCCTCGCATGGAATTATCATTAAATACTGATATTGATGTATTAAATCAAACATTATCAATTTTCGGATATCCTGAATCTATAAACTTAAATCGAACAAAGCCTTTCCTATCCAAAGAACTTGAATCTTTCTTTTATTCAAGAGATATCAGTACCAGTCGCATTACAACGGTAATGAATGTATGAATGAATGAATGAAAATAATTTTATTATTCTGGGACTAGTGTCCCTTTAGAACAAGTTAAAAATACAGAATATATATTAATAATTTGGTGTGTCCATAAAATATAATTTAATATTTACAGGTTGATTAGGAATACAATAAAGTTATAAGTAATAAAAAGATATAAATACGTGTAAACATAAAATATACAGAGAAAGTAATTAAGTAAACGAAATATCGATGAATCACAAAGTAATCAGAGTATCAGGGCGTACTTTGAGGTTTTTACAGCTTAGGTTTTTAAGTGCATTTCGTGATCAATCGGATTGGGAATGGAGTAGGTGTTTGAAGAGGAGAGATTTGAAAGAGGATATTGATTTTGCGTGTCGAATATCTGAAGGTATAGAGTTCCAGAGGGAGACAACATATATTAAAAAGGATTTATCAAACGCAGCAGTTCGGTGAGGAGGAGGATAGATGTGGGAAGGGATTGAAAGGAGCGTTTGAATTGTAGGATCTGTAGAATATAGGCGGGTCACCGTGTTCTAATGGCTCGGTATAGGAAGGTAGCAAGGAAATATTGACGGCTGTAGGACGGATAAAGCCACTTCAACTTGGTGTAGAACTGGGTAATATGTGTATCCCTTGAGATCCCGAAGATAAAGCGGATTGAGCAATTCATTAAACGTTTACGTTTAGCTTCGAGTTCTCCCGAGAGTCCACCGTAAATCATGCAGCCATAGTCGAAGTGAGGGAAAACAATAGAGGAGACCAGGAGTTGACGGGTTTTGAATGGAAGAAGATAACGTAGATGGTTAAACTGTTTCAGGGTGGAGATAATACGGCGGGAAATTTGGGAGATGTGTGGTTTCCAGGAGAGGCTTTGATCGAGGGTAACGCCTAGGTTTTTAACGGTGGTATGGAAGGAGATAGGTGATAGGTAATGGTCAAATAGAGAGATATAACAATATAATTTGATAAACTAAATGTATCTCATTCTAAAAGTTTACCTACCTAGCCATGGAAGTTATGCCAGGATCTTTACAGTTAATCCGATTCTTACACAGCTCCATGAACAAGCCGAAACTCCATCAATGTTTTTCCATGAAAGGAAATGCTCTTCTAAAGTACCCCTTTAATAATAGCTACCAACCCCATGTTAAAATGTTTTAAGAAATTCTGCTCAAAGAAAATGTGAGATCGTCATGAAGTTACGCTTTTAGAAGCGTTTTCTCATTTGTTTACCTGAAAGAAATGATACAACTCAATATTCGGCATTTTGGATCTATGGGAGATTTGGGAAGTAATAACCTAATAAACAAATAATATACCAATCCTAAACCTACCGACAATCAACCGCTATCTTCCAACGAAGCTTTTTCATCACGTCGAAAGACATTTATTCCTCACATCATCCAAATACTGCCACTTTAACGTGAAAATCGTTATTTCGTTTTCTAAATTATTGGTAAGAAAGTGGGTGGAAAAGTATATTATAAAAAGTATATAATGTAAGCATAGTATATAAAGTTTTATAATGATAAAAAAGAATTGTTTACTTCTTTATAAACATGAATATTTTAATTATTTATATTCGTTAATTTTTATTATTTTTCACTTACGAAATTATGATTAATTTAATATTATATGAGAAATTGAAAGAAAAAATCAAAATGAGAAACTAAACAATCTTTTAAATAGTGGAGTAAGGAACGATATATTTAAACAACAGAATCGATAGATAAATCGATAATATTGGCGCCTGATAACTCAAGATTAACCGCCTAGTAAACAATGTTGAAATTTTGAATTGTTTTAACTTATTTGTACAGTTTTTGCTAAGTTTTATAGTTGCATTTGATGTAATTCGATTTCATATTCATTCGGTGCAGTTATTTTTAGTGAATATGGATAAATTAGTTGAAACAATACATTCATTTTTTCCTGACTTTAATATGTCAATAAATGATCTTAAAAATCCAACTGTTACTTTTGTAAGGGATTTTTACAGTCGTGTACTTATTGAACTTGGTGTGGATTCTGATAATGTTAGAAAGGTATGGTTCATATTATATCTTGATAATAATAAATGTGATTTTTGCATGACAGAAGTCAAGTATAAACATTCATATCATATACATTTCTCAGTTACAAATTTTCTTTATATTAACTATACTTTTCCTTTTACATTAATTGTTTATGTCGTTGCATTACAAAATGTCTTCAATGTTTAAAATATTGACAGATTTATATCAAGTGATTCAATTTATGTTCAAATCTATAGTAGTGTGCATAGCTCCAATTTTTGAGTAAATGTTCAGTTACTGACCTGTGGCACTAACTAGTGTTTGTAAGCTGTTGGAAAGAATGATAGCCAATCGTCTAAAATGATTAGGGAACAGTGATTTTTGAAGGTTGAAATATATTAGACAACTTAATTAAGTTAAAAGCTAATATAATAGTAGCTTTTCGAGCCAAGAAATTCCTCTAAGTGGCATTCTTGGATATCAAAAATCCATTAAATTTTCTATGCATAAAATACTAAGTGTTGACTGAAATTAGGGTATACGGTGTAATGTTTGGATTTATATTGCTAACATTTTGATATATGCGGATGATATAGTGATTTACGTTATTGGTAAAGATACTAAACTTAGATAAGAAGGTTCTTTTTCACATCCATCAATTCCAGAAATCTTTCATTTTAATCCTTTCCCTTCTGGATTTTCTTTCCGCCTTTCTCCAATAGCTCATTTCCAGGAGGCTATGTCCACGAGCTCCATACATACAGCTTACAATCACAATTCCTTCACTTAAAAATCTTAATTAAATTAATAAAATCTTAACTATCAAATCTTAATCAGAATTAATCATTTAAAATTGTCTTGATATGTTTAATTTAGGCTCAACTTGATCAACTGGAATATGCTCAGGATATTGACTTATTGCCCGTCCTTAATTTGATAACTGCCATAAATACAGCATTTCCATTTTTGAATATCAACCTTTTTGATATGCTTCAACCAAGTAAGTTTCATTTTAAAAGTGATATAATTTGCATTTTTTTAAAATATTTACATGAGAATTGGGTACAAATATATTTGATATTTAACCTTGGATCTATCTATTTACATTTAGCTCCTAAAAGAAATGCCATGCTGATGTCGAAAGTGATGAATTTTATGGAATTTTGTGAAGCTCGAGTTGCTGCAAACAATGATGAAATCAGGAAATTTCAAGAAGCAAAAGATATTGAGAACCATCTCATGGAGACTATTGATATGAAAACCAAAGAATTGAATGATTTAGCAAGCGAGTTAGAGTCCTGTCAAAGTGCAAAGCAAGAGGTAATTAGTTCATTAAAATTTAATCGTTTCGGTATGTATTTAGATGAGGACCGCACAGGTTACGTGTGGTTCACAACCACTTCGATCACACTTGTTCATGAAACACCAAAAACAGTCGGATAAACCCTGATGCATTCGATACTCGTTAAACAAGTGTGGCCGACGCGAAACCCCCCGTGCTGTCCTCAGTGATCTAAATGATTACCACCATTTCATTTTATTTGAATAGTGTTTTGTAATCAAATTAATTTTCATTTTGTGAACAGTTAAAAATACAAATAGAATCACTGGAAAATGGATGCTATGATAACAGAAAATACAATTCTGCCTTGAAGGAAGGTATACAAAGGCTTGAGGAAAATTTTAATTCTGTAAGCAAAGAAGCTGAAACATTGAAACTGGAAATTAGTTCAGTGAGTTACTTGATTAAAGATTATTATTATTATTTATTAGTAGTATAGTGATAGTATGTTATTAAATGAATATTAACTTGGTCACTTTGTTTATCTTTAGCTGTAATTTAAGGTCTAAATATGGTTTCGTCTGGTTGCTAGTACTTATGGAATGATATAGTAAATACATTGAATCTTACCTACGTACTCTACTCACAATTTTCATCTTTTGAGATAATCTTTTAATGATTCTTATTTTCAAATGATTTCTTATCAAATGTATATTAGTATAATAAAGTATTTTGCCTTATCCTTTGAATATTCAATTAAAAGTATATTGATTTATAAATAAGTCTGTTGTTATTTGAATCTGTAGATTCTTTTAATTAAATTCTCTCATTCTGTTATCGTTTTCTCATCTTGTTTTTTTAATAATGAATGGCTTCTTTTGTTAATTGCACTCATCACTGATGAATCTACAGGGAGGACAGGGGGCTTTCGAGCTGAAGCACCTCCAAACTGGAAAAATTATTTTTTTTTTCGACTGTCCATATTTGTCACTGTGGTCTAACAATGCTTTAGTTTGTAAATTATAATGTGTATACAGTTACTAAAAAATTATCTCTAAAAGTATTATCGTTTGTGTAATTATTTTTTCTTCAAAAGTAATTATCACTATTTAAATTAAAAAAAAAAAAAAATTTGGGCCGAAGCCTTCCAAAATTAAATTCTGGATCTGATAATATAATATCTGGTCCTATGAATATTGGAAATAAAAATTTTCTTTTATCAATTAAATGATTGAAAAAATTATTGCTTGTAGTTTATTTAGTTTTACTTTTATATTTATTTTTTATATGCAAAAATTTGATAGGCAATAACCGTTATATACTAATTGTTTCTACTGCAACAATATATTATATATTAATTGTCTTTGTTTAATTTTCCCATAAATCTTATCTGTATGCATAAAACATTTGATGGACAGTGATTTGGATGGTTTTCCATAATAAACTGACGATATATTAAAAACATGTTAATGGTTGTTGGACCATGTTCAGGGACTCCAAAATTATAATTTTGGCTAGCATTGCAGTGTTCTTTACCCTCTCTAAAAATGACCTTGAGTCGTATCTGACCGCTTACACCATAACTGCAATTTTAGACCAGGAAAAAAAAAAAAAAGCACTTAATATTAATGTTTAGTTTTCTTTATTTAAATTTAAATAAATAATATTACAAAATATAAATAAACCTAAGGCATGTGAAACATTAAAAAATCATCAGTTGCTTATTAACTATTATATTCAAGATAAATCTGCAAAAAGAATATGCAGTCAAAGGAAGAGCTAATCTACATAAAATAAAATATATATAAATGGAATTTTTAATAATATGAAAGTATTTACTGCTGCAATGAAAAAGGCTCCTCTCCATTATCGAATATCCGATAACGTAGTATCGGCTTCTTTTCTGTTTTATATTTTCCATCTGTTTCATGATTTCTTTATGATTTATTTCTTGGTAACTTTAGATCTACAGATCCTAGTAATAACATTGAGTTCTATGAACAGTAGATCTTGCGAATTCATATATATTTTTTTCTCAATTTGATTATTTTAATTAAAATCCCTACCTTTATAAACATTTGTGTGAAATTTGAAGAAAATGGGATAACGCTTTCCCTGTATAAGATGTTTGCTATGATGAAAAGAGGAAGTGGAAATGGAGAGAGGTCTTGGGGAGGCTGAACTTAAGTGGGAGAATGCTGCGCGATCTTCCTTCTCGTACACTCAAACTTAACTTACATGCACTTTAATCTATTATTAGTTTGTGGGTACTCTGTTCATATATAATATAAATGTATGCAAATGAAATATATATCTAATTTCATTAATCTGACTTTTTTTCAGGTCATTCGTGAAATCGATGCGTTAAAGAGTCAAATTGTTGTTAATCCAATGGAAGAAAAACGAGAACTCGATGTGAAGTTAAAGCATAAGGATGGGGTTTTGGAAAAAAAGAAACAACTCGAAGAAAAATTGGCAGAATATAAAGAAGTTAAAGAAAAAATGCAACTTCAATTAGAGATGATCGAAACAAGAGTTGTTCCTATCATAAAAGATTTGGAAGTGTTGCGCCTTTCTCAGTATGTTCATTTATGTCTTTGATAATGCAGTAATAAGCTTCACTTTACAAGTTGTAATTTCCTAAAATGTTCTTACCCATTATTATTCACATTTTTCATTTAAGAAAAAATTCTGTGAGAAAATAAAAATCTTTGATACAGGTTATATTTTTAATATTCTAGGGAAAAAGCAGTTTCAGCGCAAAAGACGAAAAAAGAATTAGAAGAATTGCAAAAAGTGAAAGAACAGTGTATTGCAGAATTAGACGAAATTCGAAAAAATTTCGAAACTGAAGAAAGTTACTTAAAGAGCCAACTTTCAATTATAGAAAAAGATGAAGAATTACTACATAAGGCGATAGATGAAAAAAAGAGGTAAGAGTAATGTAAACAGTTTAATTTTTAGTTATTTAGTGATTGATTTTTTAAAACAATTTAACATTATTTTATTTTTTTTTAGCGATTATGCACTTAAATCGAAAGAACTCAAGAAACAACAAAAATTTTTAAAAGAAGAACTTTCTTCTGTAAACAAAGAAATATCTAACTTGGAAAATGATTACCATGAATTACGTTCTAAATTTTCTATAGCAGTACAGGCAGTCAACTCGAAATTAAATGAGGTAATCAAATTTATTTGCTTGACAGTGTGAAAATAAGTAGCTTTAAGTGAACTATACAGGGTATTTTGTAATTGCACGGCACTATTTTAGGTATGTGTTGACTAACACAAAATAAACAAAAAAGTTCATATTGACCTATACCTCAAAATCATTTATTAAACAGATATCAAAGGTTAAAGATTTATTATTAATAGTAGGCCCGTGCGAAAAATTCGCACAGCATATTGTTATCAAATACCAAATTAATAAGAAAAGAAAATAATGCAACGTATCAAAAGCTAAAGAAATCAATTGTTACTTTATCGATAAATATAATCGACAAAGGAAACAAAAATTAATTTAAATCTTCATTAATGTTTGGAACCAACATGTTCAATAAATCGCCTTAATACAATTATTAATAACTAGTAGGCCCGTGCGAAAAAGACTTAACCGGAAGTAATTTTTGAGTTATTCGCAAATAAAGTTTTTTTTTTTTCATAACTTGTTGGCCTGAATTTTTGGGGTGATTGTGCTTGTCCACCTGAAGTGAAGGAGAAGGAAGCCTTCAAAATTGGTGGCTCAATCTTGAGATTTGGTGAAGAATTAACGATGATATTGCTTGCCGATCAAAAACACCATCGATAAATGATATAAACTCCTCCTCTCTCGATCATAGAGGAAATTCAAATTGACGAAATGAGAGATTTATTTAATAACAGTACTACAATGAACGTAAGGTTGTGTGGATGCGAACCCTATTCCTTACGTTATCTTGAAAATATAACGTTTTTTGGGCTTAAAAACGCAGGATCCGGGTCTTGTTGTACGCATGAAAATCTTCAAGATCCAATTTGTCCCGTATCGATCTACAGACCTACTACCATTCCAGTATTGAAGCCTAGCAAAATGTTTGTATCGACTTTATTTATTTTAGAAAGAAAAACAAAAGTGGAGAATACGATTCGATAACCCCCCTTGAAATTCTGAATCCAACGGTACCCCATTCACGGTATTTGAGCATGACAGGAGCTTATATTTGGTACAAAACCGATTTCGAGCCTTACTGTAATAATATATGTGGGGATTATTTACTTATTATAATCAGAACATTTAGAGTAACTGTTCAAAAGGGTTTCTGTTTTGTTGAATGCAACATTCAGCACAGCGAATCCATGCTTCTCTGGCTCTCCGTATAGAATCAGGATGGTGCTTGATATTCACTGTGTCTTTCACGATCCGATTTCTTAGCTCTTCTTGCATGCCAACTGCCGCAGAATAACTTCTACCCACATTTTAGTCCCAATGCAATCTTCCTATCTATATCCTAGCTTGTCTCTGAAATACTTACTGAATCATTGGTTCAGCCATAATTACTTTCTTAATATTCATACAATTTTCACCCAAACAACGTTCTAAATTCAATTAATTTAATTACTGTAAAATATGAGAAGGACTCGGTCGAGTGTGTGTTCAAATGAATACGTAATTGTTAAAATAATATTTTATTCGTTACGCCAAATAAAATACTATTTTAACAATTTAGTATTTATTTAACCGCACCCACCGACCAACTCCTCATATTATATCATGGTAAACCATCTCTACACCATTGTATATTTGTAAATATTTTGTAAGTAGTATCGAAGTATTAGAGAAAACCAAAATATTAGTTCAACTCTGGCCAACAATTAATTGTGGTTCAGTTAGAATTTCATATTTTATTTGTTATTATCATGATTAAATTAATTTAATATATATTTTTTTATCTTTCAGATTACCAAAGGAAAAAAACATATATTTGATTATTGAAGGAAAATGAGAACATGTTATGTTAGTAAACTAACCGATCTATTTAGATGTTAAAATATTGTTCTAAGTGTTTTATTTATATAGTAAATTATATTGTTCACTTTTTATAAAAGATAGATGTATCTAAAATTTTTAATATATTTAATAAAATGTTTATAATAAATTATTTGGATTTATCCCTCAGATATTAAATTTCCATATTTACAATTCAACTGTGTGGTTAAATTCTAATTGTTATGTAAATAACGGGATGATTTAATTTTGTTCATATTTTATATCCCATTTTTTGTTGAATGCATATTATTAAACTAGGTAATACTCGTAAAACTGCTAATGCTAAAATTGTATAACTTTAATTTACATGTTTTCTGAAGCTCAGATTGTATTATTTTTTATCAACATAAAACAAATTTTTTATCAATATAAAACAAATTTTTCACCAACATAAAAAAAAACATTTCCCGTACAAATTTTTAGTCTAAAATCTTTAATTTGTATAGAGTAGGAGGTAACAGGAACTAAACACATATGTAATTAAATGAATAGCTATATAATTTGTAAAATAATCGCCCAGCTCCTGTTATCTCCTATTATCTTAATACTACAATAAAATAGAATATGATAGTTACTAAAAATGTTTTACTTTCACTTACCTATTTAAGGTTTTTTTATATATTTCTAATGTGGCAGCAACTTTTTCATTCAAATCGGCTAACCGGAAGTGCCACTTTATGTCAACGGTGAAACACATTTTTACAATTTTCTCAAAAACAGCTCTAACGATTTTGATTAAACTTGGTGTATCATTGTATAATTAAGTGGTCTTTAAGATCATTTAGGTATTATCCCCATTGATGTCACTTTACAGGGCTTAAATGTCCAATGTTCATATCTGTCTTCATTTAAAGTACCTTTAATATGAATTATTTAAAAAAAATGAACTCTCTTTTATTAACAGTAACTTTAAAAAATGGCGAAATATGAAGTTTGAAAGAATATGATGGTTGGAAACTGGAGGAATAAAGAAAAATGCATCTCCAGAAATCACAGTCAGAATGTATATGTACAATATATTGTGGGAAAGCGGAGAATTTAGAAAAAATAAATAAAGTTGTAGACGGTGACGAAAACAATATAAATAATAATTTTAGAAAACTAACATTATTTGTAAATCACATGTTTCCAAGGAAATTAAATGAAATTTTCTTACTAAATGTAAACTATAAAATTTTTTTCTAAGTTTGAAAAAAAGTGTTTAAAATCCACCGAATCAAGGCAATGCCATTGTTTAAAATACTATTTCACTGTACTTGTGTGAAAGAAGAAGTGGAATATAATAATATTTCATGGATATTTTTATAACCTTAAATACATTTACTGTAGTTTAATAACTCTAGATATGATGTTATATTTAAATAATTAATTTAATCAATTTACAATTACAATTTCTTACAAAAGATTATCTAGTAACCTTTTAGAAAATTAAATTAGTGAATAATTTGATGAATTTTCCCTTTGTGAAATCCCAACATTATCCACTTACAATTAGTGTGACAACTTTTGATCTATCCATGGCAGGCAATGAAAATCTTGTAATATCATTTTAGTAAACTTTACAATGGAAAATAACAGTTTAATAACTAATAGTCCTACAATCGATAATCATTTATAGGTTAAATATTCAGATATACATACTTTCAAATATCTGTAGCCATCATATATGACCCTTTCGGTTGACAGAATGACTAGTCATTAAATTAGAATGACTAACATACTTTATTATTAATTTTAGTGATGTTCCTATTGACAAAATTTATACTTTTATTCACATTGCTATATTTCAACACTGCAATCACCTACTCTGGATTCAACTTACTCACGGTCTGTACAGATACAACTTTTCCAACTAGAAATATCACTAAAATAGCATTACTCAAAAATGTTAAAATTGGAGTTAGTCATTCTGCCAACTGAAAGGCTCAGAGACTGAAGTTGTGTGGTTTATAAAAGCAGATGGAGTAACTAGATTTTTAATGGCTACTGTCGGTATAATAAATAGACTTTTTATAATTTTAACGGTCTTAATGATTTGTTATCCGTAAGCTTTGAGCTTTAGCTCCATTTAAAATGCATTTCATAAATTTTTATTATAGCCCAATATTGACAGAAAATAATTTCTATTCACATTATAGCGGTAAATGAAAGTAGTGTGTTGTGTGCACCAGATTTTTTTTTTAATAGAGAGATGCGATAATGATAACCTACACAATTAAAACCTATTCTTTTTAGGGAGATTTTAGTCCTTTAAACAAACAGGCAAATTAAAGGTAAGTTAAATAAATGGGAAACAATAGTATGGTAAAAGTTTTATATTTAAAAAGAAAATTAATAACTACAATTTTTGATTGGTTTGAGGGAACACATTTTAAAGAATAATAAAAATCACTATAACATTGGTTTATAGTAAGTCATAAGGGAAAGCATTATGAATGAAAAAATAAAATAAAGGGTGCAATTAAATTACAATAATCATGGACTTACCACAGATATACATATATAAGGTATAAAAACATACCTATGTACACAATTTATTAGTTTGACATTAAATGCACTTAAAACTACGCTTATGTGTGTATTTGTCAATTTTATTGTTTAAAAATAACAATAAGAAAACATTGTTTTCATTTTAAATTAAACTTAGATTAAAATTAAAACAATATTTACATCAAAATAATAATATTTTATTCAGAATAAAAACTTCGGTTTGGTTTTGAATTCTTTGTCTTTTTGTAGGCACAGTTTGGCAACGGCACTTCCTTCCCTCTCCTGCACTGAAACAACCAGTTTAAATTGTAATCTCCTACAGAAATTTACAAATATTATACTTCTTAAAATATAACTAGTTTTATTATAGCCTAAACATATAACATACTAAAATACTATCTCAGATAATATGCTATATTATTAATTTAAAATTTTATTTACATTTATACAAGGCAGACTCAGACATGCTTCCTCTGAAGGAAACTATGAACTCTCCATAATACATGAACTCTGACAACCACATTTAAGTATCATTTTAGATAACTTAATATTTCAGTTCTCTGTTTAAAATACAGGAAGAAAAACAATATTTACATTTAAAAATTCAATCACAGCTTTCACTAATTGAAAAAATCATATATATTTTTTAAAAATCTAATACCAAAAATCTGAAATAAATTATAGAACAACATGGGTAGGAGGAGCATGTAGCATATTATGTAAGATAAAACAGTTAGACATTGATGGACTCTTTCTAGATCTACAGATTATTCCAGAGTAAACTCAATCACCTTTTTTGTTTTAACATATCTTTTTTGGTGTTGTAAATGTTTTGTTGAACAATTATAAATTATAAAAATTAGTAAATGTTGAAGAAGATGGAAAATAGGAAGGGTTAGTGTTCTCATGAAAATTGGAACGATAAATGATCTGCAAGAAGAACTGATAATAGATGAATAAATATAAAAGAAAATATAATAGATTGGAAGTAATAATAATAATGGGCAGTACTTAGAGGAATTTTGAATCTCATCTGCTGTAAAACTAAAATTTTAAAATAACTTGCTGAAATAATACTTGTTCATAAAACATGGTAAAACAAAATGAAATTTTTTTAAATATATGTTAGTTACATTATCTTTACATTCAAACACTTGTCATGCTTTAATACAAACATTACACATTAAGGAAACAAATTTCCTTTAAATTCTATCAATAAGCTGTAAAGAATCCAGCGTTGCCAAAAACTTCAATTCTGATACCATGTTTTACAATCGAATGACTCAAATCGTAGTAAATCTAGCAAAAGGTGGTCCATGATAATTTAAAAAAAGATATGAAGATATATAAGTTGGGAAAAAACTATTTAAAAAAAATTGGATAATGTTTAGGTGAATTATTTTGAAAAAGTAAAAAATTCTCTTTTCATATCTGAACTTTAGATGATTAATACACATCATCGCAGTATCACTCATATCTAGATTGTGATGGAATCACCACAGAGCCATTTCTACATCATTAATGTCCGTGCTAATTTTAAAAATCAACAACACCAATTCAAATTAGGTGACAAATTTATAAAAAATCTTATGTCTTTCATTGTTAATTAAGAATTTTTTCAATAAAATTTCTTCATAAACAATTTGAAGGTATGAGCTATAATAAAACTTTTATTTTTCATTTCAAAGAATAAAAGTTATTATTTTATTTTGGTCTCTTGAATAAATGTATAAATTTTGGAATATTAGTTTGAAAACATCCATCTTCTTCAACAATTATTTGTTAGACTAAGAAATGAGTTAAAAATATGAAAATGTGAAGGTGTTTGTGTAAATACTCAGTCAGTTACATTGAAGTGTTCATTCAAAGAAAATATTATTGTCTCATATTGTTATTACAATTTTTTATTCAAAGGATATAAAAATATGAAATATGTAACTTCAGTTCTTTTCTCTTTACAGTCCATTGTATTCTTGTTTGTTTCCTTTTAGGATATAATTTATGTATAATACTAATGATAACATGGAATGAATTGTTAATATCTATGAGCTATGTAGGCATACATGACATTAAAACAAAATTACTGCCTACAAAAATATTAGAAAAATATTCAGTCATATTTGCTATTTTGTTAAAATATCAAAATACAGCATTAATGAGTACAAAAACATTTTTTCTGTTAATGTGGATTTTATATCGAATGATTTCCCAATGAAGTTAGATTTCATATTATTGACAAAACATTGCATGCTCTACACAAAACAAATTTATTGTAAGTACAAAAACATTATTGCTACCCTTTACACAGTTTGTTAAACGTTAATTCATGCAATAAATTATAAAATGAATAATTTGAGAACAAAATTTTCTCAAGACTGTTAAATATTTAGTAATTACAACATATATTAAAATAGCATGATTTCCAACCATAACTCAACCAATAAAATTAAATAGTGATGTATATAGCGATTCCCTCAAACAAAACAGATTTCAGTCTTCTATATAAGATATAATGTTGAAACAGAAAAAAAAGATAAGTTTTAAAATGCAAAATTAATTAAATCAGTCCCTCGGAATTCCTTGCTGATGTCAGGCACGCATTTTAAGGCTGAGTTGACCCAGGAAGAGTCAATGAAACCGCGGTTCCATCTTAATAAGACCGGGGTTTAAACTTAGTTTATTTATTAGTTCAAGGAGCCAGAGTCTTACTCTTGCTTCTTCATATGTAATAGTGAACTGTAAACTTATTACAGATTTGGTGTTAGTATTTCGTCACAGTTACTTTTTATTTTGATATGCAAAACTTTTGTAATTCTTGTAGCAACAATTAAAGTAAAAAGAGCATATTTATTATGAAAGGAGAATTGTGTAATATCTTTAAAAAAATTATAATGGAAGTGTTGTATTAAGTAAAACCAATGAGGAAAGAATAAAATTATACTTTATCTTCATTATATTATATTTAAGTTCAAGATTATTAGGCAGCAGGATGGCCGAGCGAGCTAATATATGTGCACAACACCGCCTGTTGCTTGGCAACCTTGATAGAAGATAATGTGATAAAATAATACTGAGTTCATGTCCAGGTGCCAAGGGGGTTTTTAATTCTGGCATTAATCCTCTGTCCATATTCCCAGGTCCAGAAAACCCCCATATTAATAAACTTAATACATTCAATTAACCAATTATAATTACTTTAGAGGACTGATTATTTGGGCTGATCAATGCCAGTTCTTGTCGAGATACTGTAGTCTAAACAATTTTAAACAAGGTATAAATAATGTATTGAAATGTTTAACCATTGTAATATTGAAATTTGTATGTAATAATACTTGAAAAATTATAAACAACCCATAAGTATCCAAAATGAAAATAAAGTAAATAATTATAAAGAATTAAACAATTTTCATGAAGGTAAAAGTTTAACAGGAAACGATTCCACAAATAGACCACATTTTAAATTTAAAGAACAACTTTAGAATATTTATAACAACAGTGAATAAAAATTAAATGATTATTAATTATATTCAAAACATTTAATTTACTCATAAACTGAGGTTAATTTTTACAGACTTTAGCCAGTTAGATACAAAGTTGTTTATACTATTAAAATTAGTGTTGAATTAACAAGATAATCTTGAATAACTGCTACATGTTCGTTTTGTAAAAATTATATGTAAAATAAAAATTTCAGTTCTTCAAATTCTGATTTATATTTTGAAATAAGAAAATGTTTCAAACCAAAACCAATTTTACAAAACAAAAATTTTGATTAAACAAGATTAGTCCAGATAATTGATTTGTCTCTATTTTAAAATCATTTTAATGTTAAAACTTCAATAACATTTGAGAAATAAATTACAGTTATATTATTATTATTTAAACAAATAACAGTTTTGTGAGTATTTAATTTAAATTATTTATTTATCTTTAAAATTTAATTTTAAATTAAATTAACAATCTAAACTATTTTTATGACTGCTTAAATTATTGTTGCATGGTGTCGTGTTTGTTTTAGCAATACGGGTTGAAACTGTGCATTGAATCATCCCGAATATTACTAAAAGCATACTACTTAATTTATAATACGAGTTAATTATAATATTTTTATTCTCTCTATACACAGTAAACTATCTATCAGTCGGTGAAAATGTTTCAGCATTTATAAAAAGTTCATTACTAAATCTGTGATAGTGTATCCTATTTTACTGAGCGTTGTGTCTGCCACTATGGACAGATTAAATAGCAGCCAGATAGTTTATTGATATATTTACAATTATACAAGAGCTTTTTTGTTTAAATTTTTTACATCATATTCATAATCATCTTTTCGTTATTTTTTTAATAAGCTTCATGAGATCCAATCAAAACTATAATTTCCCAAGAGTTTCTTTCAACTTCAATAACGTTTAGAATGAATATTTTTTCTTCAAAAACTTCATATTCTCAAATATTAGTTACTTATATTTTTATGATGATCAAATAACTAACTATAGAGAAGACTGGCCTTCAAGTTGTATAAACTTGTTTTTAAAATTAATTAAGAACAACCGAATGTATACACGTCCCTTCCTCACACATGGTCCGAGTTATGGTGAAATCATGCTATTTTTGAGTGGGGTTAGGGCGTGATGAAGACTGCTGTCAGACCCAGAGGACCCTGAGTGGCTCGCGGAATCCTGTGTCGGCGGGAGTGGAGCTCCAACGGCGGTGTCGATGTGGCTCGACCAACGGTAAGCCCAGCTCGTGGTGAGACCCTTCAGTTGTGCTGGTGTTACTCGGGCCAGCCTCGTGGAATGAGCTCATTGAGGAAAAACCACTCTCATCCTCTGTGGAGCCGACTGAAGGCTGTGGAGTGGTTGCTTTTTCCTCGTCCTTGCATGAGCCTTGGGCTAGTGAAGTGCAACTACCCATTTGCTAGAAAAAATAAAGAATAAAAATTCATTACAATAGTCAACTATTCATAAATATATATATATATATATATATATATATATATATATATATATATATATATATATATATATATGTGTGTGTGTCTGTGTGTGTGTGCGTGTGTGTGTATAAAATAAAAAGAACATCAAAGGAAATCTGAGCAGATTAAAGAAGAAATAAAGAAACTAGGGATCAGAGTAGAGGAGAACCAAGACAGAGACAAGAAAGATAGTAGATGGAAAGAAGGTTATTGTAGTGGAGAAAAAAAGGATGAAAGGAAGTGGAAAGAGGAGCGAAGAAAGGAGATAGGGCAGAAGAGGAGGAAGGTGTGGGAAAAAAGTAAAGCTAAGAAACGTTATATAGCTGGTCGATATTCCAATAAATAAACAAAATAAATAGGAATACAATTCCATCCCAATGAATTGCATTATATTACAGTAAATATAGTACCCTTAAAAGAAGAATTGCAGAAGATCAATATGATTACTAACCCTGTAAAAACAAAAGTAATGAGGGTTGGGAAGAAGCCTAGGAGAAATATGCGTGTCATCAGAGTCGAAGACAAAATCTTTGTGCTGGTAGAAAACTTCAAATACCTGGGCACACACCTTAATGAAAATGGATACATCGATTCAGAGGTGACTGAGGGAATCGCTGCTACGAGCAGGATGGTTGAAGCAGTTAAGAAAGGTTTTCTGAACAGGCGTGAGGTGGAGAAGAAAACAAAGGTGGCTGTTTTCAGATCGACATTTCTTCCTATTTAATGTACTCTTCGGAATCATGGACACTGACAAAGAAACATCAATCAAGGATACAAGCGTCAGAAATGCGATTCCTTCGAAAGATTAAGGGGAAAACGAGAAGAGACAGAGTACACAACACCACTATCAGGTCGAACCTCAATATTAAGCTGGCCAATGATGTGATAGAAGAGAATCAGCTGAGATGGCTAGGACATATTCTGCGGATGGAACCAAACAGCCTAGAAGAAAATGGGAAGATGAGGTGAAGAGCGACTTCCAGAGAAGAGGTCTTAAATGGAACGATAGAAGACGTCTAGTTGAAGACCGGCAGAGCTGGAGAAGGCTCTACAAACTTCCTCCTCACACTGCTTAATGCGGTTCAAGAGGATGGATTATGATGATGATATATTATCCAGGAAAACAATTTATTTTTTCTGGTCATTTCCATGGAAGAAAATATTATAGTAAAAATCTGTTAGTTTTAAAGCATGGAAGTTTATTAATTGAGCAGTAAATATATGAAGTACTCAATACAGTAAGAACAAATCAGCCATGTCACCATATATTTTTTTGTATGCGTAAATAAGCTGTTATGAATGGTATATATTGCCTGTTGTGGAGAAATAGATACCAATTTAAAAAAAAAGTCAAAAATTCTTTCATCATGAAAAATTATCTTTAATTTATAATATTTAGCAAAGGAAAGCGTGATAATGTCAATTCATCAGAAATAAATTTGAAAGTACCGAGAAGCATGAGTCTCTTCTCTTCTTATGTGCTAGTTAGATCTTTTCCAAAGTAAACAGCATGCTATGCCGAAAAATATACATTACTTTCTCAAATTCTATATAGCACATTTAAGAGATAATTATTTCCTTTCTTAAATGGTGAAACAATTTTTATTAAAAATAATTTCTGAATATTACATTTTGAAAACATTCTTATTGAATTTTTTTTTGCCATGGCACTCTTGTAAGGTTAAACAATTTTCCCAACTTCAGGGAACTATAAAAAAGTCTTACTTATAATGATAAAATAATAGAACCTCCAGCCATTTCTGGTATAATATATAAACCATGTCAAATTTTGCTCAAATGTTCTCTTAAATTTGATTTATTTAAATATTTATTCTGTTATGAATACAATTTATTAATATTTATAATAGTATTGATATCAAATAAATTTCATATTAATATTTAATATAACATTATGAATTATAAGTAACATTGCCATGACACCCATGATATGCGCTTCCTAAGGTGTTGTCTCACCCAGTTTGAGAATCCTTGCAATATTATATATATCCAATTTAAAAAAAAAGAAAAAAAAATTGAGGCATGACAGATATTTCTTTCATGTTTGGGATTATATTCTCCCCCTCATATATTGTTCGCATTTATCAATTTTAAGAACTTTAATACTCCATCAGATAATAATTGGCAACTTCCTTTTGAAAGATAGAACTAAAGAAGTTTTTATGATTTAAAATGTACCAATTTCAATCAAAATGATAAGACTTTTGATAAAATATATTAAAGAACAAGTAAATTAAAGGTTTTTTTATGTGGATTTAATGTACTAAGGATGGTTTGTGACTCTCAAAGTGAAGTTTACTGGCAGAGACTTAATCTTAGAAGAATGTCAAGATATCATCAAATGTCAAGGAACTAGGTGGTAGTTTTGTCAACTCATACATTATTGTTTAAGTAATTCAGAACTATGAGGACAAAGTAACAACATACCGAAGTAGAATTAGATTCAGTAACCCTAGCAAGGTCTGGCTCTCTTGTAGCAAGAAGAGATTGAACAGTACGAAGGAGGCGGAAAGCATCCTGAGACAATCTTTCGGGCGAGACTTCTTCGGGGCTGCTTCTGCTTCCTCGCCTACTGAAAATATTTTAATTAATATACAATAAGTGTGCAACCGTCATAGCAACACCTTCAAAGCAAAAAATAAGTTAAAAAGGAGCAAATATGATTTTAAATATAAGTAAATTTTTTATGATTTTAGTTTTACATCATTATATTATGCTATCAAATTGTACTTAAACAAAGCATTTTATTAACCTAATTGAATACTTCATTTCACTACTGTTAATCCAAAAGTTCTACGTAACAATTTTACATGTTTATTCTTTTTGAGCTGAAGGTGACATTTTGTAGCCTTCCACTATGGAAAATAGAAGAGCGAAATAAAATATAAAATTATACAAATCTATATATATATATATATATATATATATATATATAAATTAATGTATGTCTGTCTGTTTGTCCTTTATGCATTACTAAACCATTCATCCGATCATCATGAAACTTTGGGAAGTTGTTGCATACACTCTTTTCTAGCATAGTATTTCTGTCTTAGGATAATTTTATATGTGTGAAAAAAAAATAAAAATGTAAATGTTTTTCTGTTCAAAGCCGCTATTCTCCGAAAGTTCTTCACCGATTGCTTTGAAATTTTGACACAGTATTGCAATCGAATTCAGAAGTGTTTTTTGAACATTTTATTACCATCCAGCTTTTCGTTTCGAAATGGTGACCGAAAAACATGTCACTAAAAAACTATAGCACCAAAACGGCTTTAATGATTTTAACGAAACTTAGCTAAAGTCTTCCCCTTGAGACCCTTTTAATTTATGTGTATAACATACTTTCCCCAAAAACAAGCTGAAAAAATATTACAATGAATTCAAAATTTTATTTTCCAATAACTAAAAAAGTGCACAATTTTTGATTGATAATACCCATATTTATTTGAAACCTTCCTGAATTCTCTACAAAATAAAAAATAAATCGTCCAAACCGGATGATTCGTTGCAGAGTTATAGAGTTTTAAATATTTACTACTTTCTCTTCAGCAAAGGCCATTTCCCTTTTTTTTTTTTGTTATTGAAAATTCTATAATTACTACAGTAATTGAAATTATCATTTGAAGAAGTGATATGATTCTCCATATGTAGGTCAATACTATTCGTTATATTTTTCTCTTTATATTCGTTTTTTATTTTTCCCCCAATGTATTCTGGAAGTAGTATGACACATCTCAAATATTTGAATTGCTATTATTTAAAAATATTTAACTCTTGAGTTTTAATTATCACCGTTTATGTTTCTTTTATAAATCAATTTTTCATTGATTTCAGTTTATTTTATTTTTTAATAAATTATTTTCTTTAACATTATGTTGGAATAAGGTTGTGCCGTTTACCATAGGTTTCTTTACATTTTATTCTAAGATTCCCATTGTAACACTTATGTCACCCTTTTTGATTATGCCTACTTCATCATTCCACACTTTGTAACGGTTTTTATTATTTATCTCTTAGTTCTTAGTCATTATTCTAACAATTTCGTTTTACTTTATATTTATCTATTTTATTTTTCTAATTATTTTTTTATTTTTTATTATCTTTTTTACCATCACTACTTATGTTTCTCATACCTTGTTATCTGGTTATTTTCTAAGCCCTGATGAAGGCCTGAACTTCAGGTCGAAACGTCGGCATATGTAAAAAATAAATATTATCATTTATTTTTGCCTTCCTTTTTGACTGACCACCCCAACTATTCTTCTCTTCATTATAACTCTATATTTAATCAAGTTGTTATTAAGAAGAAGCAAGCAATCAAATATATTAGGAGGGGTATACGGAATCTTTTGAGGGAGGTAGAATGCAGCTCTAATGGACACAAAATGAACGCTATGGTAAATGGCATAGCGCAATTTCAATACATTGCCACGTTTGATATTTGAAAATCTTTAACATTGAAACACTGTCATAACATATTTTGAACCTTATGTGTTGCTTTTACATCCAACTGACGGTGCGTTTTCAATAAATATGTATAGCTTCACCTTATGTTTTTTAATAGTAGGTATATATTTAAATGCAACGTTAAGCCGAAATTTCAAGGCAATGCGTGAAGAACTTTCCAAGATTTAAGAGTTTGAACAAACGAACATTTACATTTTTACTTGCCATAAAATGATCAACACAAAGTTGAACATTAAACAATTCAATAAATATAAAAAATTAAACATGAAAATATATGAATGGCTTTATATCAAAGATGGATCTCTGTCATTTTCAGAAAGCGGAGATAAAGTCAATTTTAGTTTTATAAGTTCGACTCAGACTGTTTCTGATGATTAAGAATGACGGAGTATTTACTCTGATGATTAAATTGAAGGTATGTTACAGACAAATTTGTTTATCAACTTTTTAAAAATGACAGAAGACCTTTGGTATTAAGCCACTCATATGTGCTTTCTATTTTCTTTCTTTCTTCCATTTTGCCATATATACTGAGCCACAGCAGAGCATGGCCGAATAAAGGTAATAAATCATAAAGAAATAATTAATTCTTATGCTGTTTTGTAAATAAACTCAATTTTAACATATGACCTTTTAGACTAACATCGACGATATATATAATTGAATATGATATATCATCTTAAACCAATGACGCAAGAACATTGCTCTTCAGTTTAACACTGTTTTTTATGAGAACTAGTCAAACTGACAAAACTTACGGATTTCTTCAAGATAATCAGAGAATAAAATCTTTATTTTAGACCAGATATAACTTACCATGCATGATCTCTAAAGGTGGTGTACGATGTGTCCTGCATCTGTGATATGCTGTTTGCCCTGTGTACTGAAGAACCGTGTGAAGGTGATGATCCACGACTTTGGCTTACGACTGTGTGTACTGATCGGGACCTGGGTGCCCTGAAACAGGGTCTCAATTAATAGGCTTTAGTTGCAGACTATACTGAATAAACAGTAATACTTTTTCTTATAATAATATTATTTCTCCATAACATGTCTGGTAAGCAAGTTGGGAGTTGCAATCAGTAAGAAACATAAATAAAAATTATTTTGAGCTGACTTTTCGGCCAAAGTTTCAGGCCTTCTATCAAGGCGGAAGGAACACAAGATAATAACAAAAAAATATTAAACAACTATTGTAAAACGATATGATAACAAAATATGTATAATCTGCTAATAAATAAATTCTAGGAAATGTATAGAAAATTAAAATATATTAGTATTTTATTCTTTAGCAAATAAATCAAACTTTATTTGCAATGTTTTTATATTTAACAAATACATATATTATGTACAATAATACATATATTTTTGTTATATTTTGCAAGTTTTCTATCATCTTAAATTCAACCTTTAATAATTCGAACAGATCATGTAACCTACAGGTTCGGATTATGAATACTATCCTTTATTTTGTTTTCATATCTTTTTATTATAATTTTTAATATTTTTTTGGTCATTATTGTTTGTTTATTCAGCCCTAATGAAGTTCTGAAACTTAGGCTGAAATGTTAGCAGAAACATTTTGTTATTGTTTCTCAGAAAAAATATATTTACAACCCTCCAAATAACTTACCAACCATATTATTATTATTAATAAACTGTTTTTACAATGTTGCAATTATTCATCCTGATATTAAAATATTTAATACAAATATAGATAAATGGAATCTTTTATTATGAAGATAAGTAAGTCTGTATTTTAAACAATACTATTATTTAAAAAAAAAGAAATTGAAATTGATTTTATAAAATAAATTTTAGAGCTAAACAAAATTAACTGATTAAACTTTTATATTTTTTTAAAAATTGAAATGATTAATAGGTATAATTGTGTAGTGATGGTTGGGAAGATCAGTAAAAAAAAAAAATAATAAAAATAAATAAGTATTATAGTATAATAAGTATATTGTAGTATAATAAGTATATAGTATAAATTGTATTTTTATACTATATACCTATAATACTACAATATACAGATAATATACTTATTTATTTTTATAATTTAATTTTTTTAACTGATCACCCCAACCATTCTTCTCTTCGATTAATAGCTATCTTTAGAAACTAAATGAATTTGAAACTATTTTAAAACCAAATAGCAGTACTATCTCTGTACTAACGAAAAATCTCACCTGGACTTTGCTCTGCTAGGATGGATTTTACCAGGAGACATCTCGAGGGCTTTATGTACTCTTTCTAGAAACTTAGATACTTGTTCCATAACAGCACGATACATCTGCCTGTTTGATTCAGCCTGCAATAACATGAATTAACATACAATTAAAATATTAAAAGTATTTAATCATTATATAAAGTGCCAAAGTAAGAAAAGTTCAGTCCCTTTTTCTCCTCTGTTTTGCAACCGATTATCTTTTTTTGTTTAGTAGCTATTGGGGAGCTTTAGTGTTATAAAAAAAGTAAAAATTGAAATCAGAGTTAGTTTGTTTAAAACTATCAATCTCCGAAAGTTCTTCACCGATTGCTTTGATATTTTTATACATTACTGAAATAAAATTCAGAAATGTTTTTACAATTAATGACCTTTCCAACCAGATCCATCACTCCCAATACCACATCTATGCAGACGATTTCCAAATATACCTTTTCTTCCCCCCTTCCGACCTATTAGCTGCCACAAAAAAGCTTCAAGAAGATTTAAATAGAATATACGACTGGGCAGGAGTTAACAAGTTGAAGTTGAATGCGGAAAAGACCAAGGCAATCCTAATAGGCTCCAATCACCTCCTCAAAACTGTCCCTAGCTTTCCAACCCTCTTTTTACATGATAATCCCATTAAATTTTATCCCACCATCAAAAACCTTGGAATAATCTTCGATCAAACCCTTACCTGGAAAAACCAAGTGTCCAATATCTCCCGACGTACCTTTTCCACCCTAAAACACTTAAATAGCCTGAGACACCTTTTTCCTTTTGAAATCCGTAGACTCCTGGTCACCTCTTTAATATTTCCCCATTTCGACTATTGCTGCACGGTATATGGGGGCGTCTCTGGGGATCTCGAGGCGAAACTAAAACGTTTGATAAATTGCTTCGTACGATTCATCTTCGGGATCCCAAGAGACGCTCCTGTTTCCTGTTTCTATGAAGAGTTGAAGTGGCTTTATCCTTCCAACCGCCGTAAGTATTTCCTGGCATCCTTCCTCTTCCAAGTAATTCACTCCCGCCGTCCTTCATACATCACCGAGCTCCTTCAATTTAAATCCTCTGTTCACTCCCGCAATACCCGTTCCCGGTCCTCAGATCTATATATAATGGCCCACCGAACCGCTGCTTTCGATAAATCATTTATTATTCGATCCTCTTCCCTATGGAACTCCATCCCTCCCCACATCCGTCAATCCAAAATCCTTCCTACTTTTAAATCCCAACTGTTTAATCATTTCTTATCCATCCAGTCCTCATCATAAAATTGTAAATAGTTACTACTGTAAATATGTATATAAATTATTAGATCGTTCTTTATTATTTTTACTTCATGTTTATTTTCAATTTTTTATTTTTATTATTAACTGATGTAAATTAGAAAGTAACTTATAATATCTCTAACAATTTTTTTTTTTTACTATTTAATCAAACTATACTCTTTTTTATGTATCTCTGAGGCTCCTTAGCCCACATTTTTGTTTCTCTGTATTATTCTAAAGGGACTCGTCCCAGAATAAATAAAGCATTATTATTATTATATTTTCATTACTATCCAGCCTTTCATTCAAAATGATGCCTGAAAATAGACTGACAAGAAAATAATAATGATGGATTCAGAACTTTTTTTTCACGAATTAGTCAAAAAATGCACAATTTTTGGTTCATTGAACCTTTGAATGTTTGGGAGCTTCCTGAATTCCCTATAAAATCAAAAAAGTCATCTCTGGATAAGATATTTTTATTACACTAATTTTGTTTCTTCCATTTTTTAGATTTATATTTTTTAGGAGAGCTATATTATGACAAATTTATATTTAGAATATAGTTATAGTATGAGTAAAATGTTATAGCGAAACAATTTGTACTGACCGAAGTATGTAAAGTGTGTTCAAATATTTTATTAAAGAGATACTAAATTTAAATTGGTTATTTTGCACCTAAAAGAAATCCTCAAATAGGAATTTTCATTGAAATAATAGTTTTTTGTTTTAAAATTTCAACGAATGAGCAAAGTGGGTTCAAATATTTTTGAAAAAAGTTATGATAGATTTACATTTTTATTTGTCAATAATGTAATATTACGAGAATATAAGAGTAGATAAAAACATGTTGGAAAATGTTCAAATTTATTTATGTTTTCATCAAATGTCCATTATTGATTAACGTCGAATTTCGACCGTTTGGCTAGTAACACTAGTAATAATAAGAGTATAGAGTTTCATGGGGTATGATTGAGAAGAATAAATTGTTTTAGGATTAAAAATGATTCTTATGAAAGACTTTTCTACTTCAACTATTGCCCGTAAGGAGACCAAAGCAGGACTCCATGGGAACTCAAGATGTCTACTATAAACACATCCATTCAATCCTGTCTCACTAGATCTCGTACCTCCAACCTCTATCCACCTCCCCACCGAACTGCAGCGTTTGACAAATCCTTTATAATTCAAGTCGTCTCCTTCTGGAATACCATCCCTCCCGATATCCAACATGTACAATCAGTTTCCTCATTTAAATCTCTCCTTTTTAACCACCTACTCCTTTCCCAACCCGATTGATCATGAAATGTAGATAAGATAACTTTCAAAGTTCCCCCAGAAATGATTTTCTTTACTTATGCTATTTTATTTTCCCACATTTGTATTATACATATCAGAATGTTTTTAGTGTAATAGTTCTATTTTTTGTTTTATTCTTTTTTCAAAATCTTAATCTTAATAATAATTGTAAATAATTAATTTTATGTATGGCCACACAGGCATTTATTCTGTATATGTAATTTGTCCTAAAGGGACAACAGTCCCAGGATAATAAAAAAATATTTTCATTTCATTTCACTACTATTAAATAACAGTTTTGAATATCAATCTGAATACTGATTCATGTATTTGATTTGGAATCAAATAACCAACCACTAATTATATTAAAACACTAGAATGTAAATATGACAAACCTGTTTGAGTTGCCATTGGAGGGTATCGATTTGTGACTGAAGAATACTCGAGTCTATGCTGGACGCTCCAGCCTGGAGCTTCCTATTTGCTTCCATTAGGGACTGGCACTCCTGCAACAACATAAAATAATAATTTAATAACATTATACATTAATCAAATTAATTATTAAACCTAAAGAATTCGGTTATGATTTTGATGGCATTTATCAGAAAGAACTAATCCACAGAATATGCAAAAATGAGCTAGATATAGTTTTGAAGTGGACTAGTGCTTACTATTTTCTATAGAAAAGAACCAGCTGTTGGTTCAGGTATCTTAAATAGAAAATCAAGTTGAAAAAAATATTAGAAATAAAATTAGAGTTTCAGTTTAATTGCTAAGAATTGAACCTAGCAGGTAGTAATCTTTTAAACTTGATATGGGCTGCCTAAGACAAAGTTGAAAGAAACCGACTGCTGACATCAAAAACAGCGTCAAGGGTGGAGAGCAGGTAAATTAAGGACAACGGCTTCTAGGGAAGGCTTCTACTCAAAGTAACTAGTCATCGGTTAAGTAACTGGTTCCTTTTGGGGTGTTACCAGTTATTGTGAAGTTATAGGGTGAAGTTCTGAACCAAGCAAAACCACCCTTGCCTCACCATGAATATTTGTATAAAATATCCCAAGAAGTAAGAAAAGAGAGCTGATGTTTTCTTCTGACTTGAGGACTGAAGCCTTGGCCTTACATAGACCATTAAGATGGGCCTGCCTCTTGGCGGAGTTTGGACCTGGGCTTGACGAGATGACCTCAGAGATTAGCAGATGCAGCGATTAAACTTACTAACTACACCACTTCATATACAATAGTTAAGCTTTAATTCCCAATAGATTTACTGATGTTAAAATATTTCATGGCAATAATTCTCAAAACAGTCCATCTGAAATCATACCTTCGCTGTCATTGAATAAATTCTTTGAATCATGTATTTAATTGCCACTGGTGCTGTTGTAGAACGATGCCGAGCCTGTCTTAATGCTCAAGGAAATCATTTTGAACAACATTTAATATGAATGTTAATGTTTATATTTAATTAATAAAGTAGTTAGAACAAATAAATAGGTTTTATTTATTTCATATAAAATAAATAATTCATAGCAACAAAAATATTTAGGTATGAATATCCTGAACAAAGCGTTTGTGGACATACCTTCAGGGGAATATTTTTCTTGTTTTGAGTAGTTAATTTTTGCAGTTTGGCCACTTAACCCTAAAACACCCTGTAGATAAAACATTTAAACGCCATAAAGGCATTTAGTACTTGCTTGGAGTTGGCAAATGGATACAACATCATCGACTACCCAAGTCTGGTACCTTTAAGAAATTTGCAAGATCTGGCGTTTTCTTTAGCAAATCAGATACTCAATGTATTTATGTTTAACTCACAATATATATATTTTTGTTATTTTGTGCGATCTTAATACAATTTTAAATTCAACCTTTGATAGTCGTAAACCTATGACTTTCTGTCTTACAGTATCCATTAATAATACTCCACTTCTCCCTGTTGAGCAAATCTGATACCTAGGACTCCACCTTCATCTGATACCTGGACAAACGTCTAACTTGGGATCATACCAGACTGAAACCACAAGAATAATTGCTCTAGCCTTTCAATCAATTACAAAAGACTGATATACATGATAATTCTCCTTACTTTGTTACAAATAAAATAATCCATAATGACCTGAATGTTCCATATGTTTCCAAATCGGCCCAATCCAGATATCTATCCTTCCATAATAAACTTCAGAACCATCCTAATTCTCTCGTTTCTAACCTTGCTTCCTCCTCGATCCCTGATAACCCTCCATGGCGTCTGAAAAGAAAATGGCCTCGTGATCTGTTAATTTAGATACTTTATTAGAGTGCTGCCAATGGGTAGATTCTCTACAACCCTTGTCATGTCGTATATTTTTTATAACACATTTTCTGAAAGTATATTAATTTATATAGTTGTAAATTTCATAAATAAATAAACCTTTAGTACAGAAAATTTTGATCATCCGAACATGCTATTCAGTCTACATGTTCGGATTATCACGAAATTAGAACATCGCTAGATTTATTTATTTATGTCAGACAAGATGTCGCATGTGCAAGAGGAGCGAAGACCAGTGTTTCCTATAGGGAAATTGTCAAAAAGTAAAACCTTGAAGAGAACATTGACGGGGCTTGTGAAGACAGCGATATGAAAGTGAGGGCGAACATTGGCGAGCATAGCCGAGCGTTCAGGATGGATTCGCTACGCGGCTGATTACCTCAATGGTTATGCAGACCAGCGTTTGTCAGGATCTGCAGCACAGTTCTTGTCTTATCATCGGAAAGAGGAATCATCCGCTCCTTTTAACCTTTCCGGCGTGAGTTTCATTCTCTCTAATCACGGACATCCGTGAGAAAAAATAAGACTAAAAGCTTCGAAATCTACGCACACTGTAGTTGATCCACGGCTGATATGACAATACAAATAATTATCTACCACAACCGGATTCGAACCTGGTGCTCAGAAATATAGAACAGAGCTTAACTCACGGAGCTACTGCTCCCTATGTAAAAAATAAACCTAAAAATGTCTACACATATTGAAGCAGTAATGAAAATTATAGGGTGAAAATGGTTATTAAAGCAGTAATATATTCTGTTTGTAATCTCCACATATATTATTACAGTAAGGCTCGAAATCGGTTTGGTACCAAATATAAGCTCCTGTCATCCTCAAATACCACGAAAGGGGTACCGTTGGATTCAGAATTTCACGGGAGTTAGCGAATCGTATTCTCCATTTTTGTTTTTCTTTCTAAAATAAATAAAGTCGATACAAACATTTTACTAGGCTTCAACACTGGAACGGTGGTATGTCTATAGATTGATCTGGGACAAATTGGACCTTGAAGATTTTGATGCGTACAGCTAGGTCAGGATCCTGCGTTTTTAAGCCCAAAAACGTACTATTTTCGAGATAACGCAAGGCATAGGGTTCGCATCCACACAACCTTACGTTGATTCTCATTTCGTCGACTTGAGGCCTCTATGATCGAGAGAGGAGGAGTTTATATCATTTATCGATGGTGTTTTTGATCGGCAAGCAATATCATCGTTAATTCTTCACCAAATCTCAAGATTGAGCCACCAATTACGAAGGCTTCCTTCTCCTTCAGGCTGGCAAAATAGTCCAATCACCCAAAAATTCAGGCAAAGAAGTTATTAAAGAAAACAAACTTTATTTGCGAATAACTAAAAAACTACACACTTTTCCCTAGTTTATGCCTATGATTATGTAGAAGATTACTAAATTCTCTGCAAAAGGAAAAAAAAAATCATGGAAATCGGATAATTTTTAGTTAAGATTCAGCTTACTGAAATTCGCAAACATATTGGTTCCAAACATTAATGAAGATTTAATTTAATTTTTGTTCCTCTCGATTATATTTATCGATAAAGTAACAATTGATTTTTTTAGCTTTTGATATGTTGCATTATTTTATTTTCTTATTAATTAGGCATTTGAAAACAAGATGCTGTGCGAATTTTTCGCACGGGCCTACTAGTTGTTAATAATTGTATTAAGGCGATTTCTTAAAGATTTTTTTTTTCTAAAGGCCTCCGAAATGTTCACCAATTATAGGTTCCCTAAAGACTAAACAACACAGAGATCGTGGATTGAAGCAAAATATTGATTATATATATTTCTATATTTTATTCTAGTGGATAGAAATATATCTCCGACATTTTAACAAGTACACCCATTATAAAACAACAGATATTATCAGACAAAAAGTATTACGTAAAAGAAAAAACGAACGACGCAACCTAAGCAAAGAACAATCTTCATGACAATCTGGAAAGAATCCAGAAGACTATTACATTCAAGTTGGAACTACTTCAACTCATGGAACGTTTTCTGAATATAGAATTACTCAAAATAAATAAGTTATGTTTCATAAATTATACACATACTTAAACGAAAGATTAAGTTATTATAAAATATATAGTTTGGTAATTAAGGAATATTTTTTAAGTGAAAACTCTTTTAGGCGCGTTTTGCACTTTTTTATGTAGAGAGTGAATTAGATTGAGCCGTCAGATCTCCGATGTGTAACACTCGGGTAAAGACGGCTGGACTCGACTAAATGTTTTTGCATATTGATTAAAATATCTTAAAAACTAAACATCGTACCTCCATATTGTTAGCAAGGAAAATGTTAATTATTTCATCCTGTTTGTAATTAGCTATTATTCAAAATTGTAACTAAAAGCAACGCCGTGTTATCATCAAGGGCTTCAGGTCAGAGCTGAAGAGCTGGCAACCACTAGTTAAAAAAAATAATAATAAAAAAATAAATTAAAATAATTCATTTTAGACTATCAATAAAGCAACTTTATTAGAAAAATATTGAATAAAATAAAATTTTAATATTACATAATATAAAACAGCTTAAGAAATAAATTTGATTTTTTAGAGGGCAATGACGTCATTGTCTGGGGGCATCCTATGTACAATTGCTTCAGGTAATTGAAAATTGATCGTCCATACGATACCAATTGGTAATTTTAAGTGAAAAAGAAGTTTGTAATCTCGATGGAGGAATTCGTAAACTGCTATAGAAATACAGATATACTTGCAAATAAATTAAAATTCGGTCATTCTCGGAGTTGCAGTTATATTGTGATCATAAGATCTTGTCTCCATCCGTCAAAGTGAAGTAAAACTTATAAGGTAGTTTCAATACAGACATGTTAAGCATGAGATAATAAATATCGGTGATGGGAAAGGATAAATCTCATTCATGAAAAAAAAAAAGAACGTTCGCATTAGACCTTCTCAATCATTCTGAAAAGTCCAAAAATATATTCTTAGGAAATAACAGAAGGTTTAACTCTCGACAGAGGTAATTCTGAGGATAGGTGAAAAACCTGAGGAAATGGCGGCTCATCAACTAGTCTTAGGTTACATCGTTACAGTCATGAAGATGTCCTCCGGACCTGTAATAATACCATGTTGTTGAGGTTATTTCTTCCTGTTATCCTGCGGATTAGAGAGGAAACACAAAGTTGATCC